GAACGCTTCGCGCCTCTATTATATCGGAAAAGTAAATTTATAAATTAAGAATATTTGGCCAAACTTCATCATGAAGCGCATCATTCGCGTCATTTTCCCCCGCTTTTTGGATTTGCATACCCTGTTTCGATTTACATCTTGATGAAGCAACGTGAATTTGCCTGCGGCTAAAAAGGGGTCGGTGCCCCCTCAATATCCCTCAATGAATGGGTTAAAAGGCCGACTTGCTAAAAACTTTGATTCTGGGATTTTAAGCGCTCAGCCGATAGGCAGCGCTTTTTGATTTCGACTTGCCTCTGAGTACTAGTTTACTAGTGCTAATGCGTTTAAATGGCGCACCAGCTCATCGATGTGTAGGCTTTTTGGGAGGGGGGTTCCATTTTTAAAATAAATAAAGCTGTGAAAAATGTATTTTATGCTTTTAACGTAATGCGCAGGTAGTTTCGATCGTTTGTCTATAAGAAAATTTCTTAGCGGTAGAGTAATTCTTATCGAAATTGATCGTTGAACTCAAATGAAGCCTAAAAAGAACGCGCCTGATGAGCTCAACGGTGAGCTCATTTTCGGGAAACAAAAATACGCGTTTACGGTTTCCTTGGTAACCTTTGTTTGCTATCAGCTGATGTTTTATTTCCATTTCCCAGCCAAGTCGACGGAGTTTATACGTCCTTTCTTCATTAAATACATTTACTAACACCTGAGCGCTTTCCTAATACGACAGTGTTAGAACTTTCCCGCTTGTATTAATTGTCATTGCAATCAATGCAGGAAAAAGGGGAAACTAGGTGAGGAGGGGAGGAGAATCCAGTTTGTAACATAATCAGCGTTATGCATTAGCTACCCTTATGATTTTATATTATAGAGTATGATATGCCTCCTGATAGAACTCCTTAAATTCCAATTGTCTGAGGGAGGAAGAATTGTTGGTCCTCTAATACTTTGATCAGTTTTCCCAAATGGCCTCTTTGTAACCTTCATTTAGATTCGCAACCGATTTGGGAAATTTTCATGGTCGAGTCTTTTTTTTAAATTGATTCTTTTATAACGTAGGCTTGGTCACGAGTGAACTAAGCGTTATTTCAGACATGAATGTTTTTGACATAAATGAAAAATCATAACTGTAATTGACGAGTTAGGACAATTAACGTAATTTTCATTAATGATTGTAGGTTTTCGCAAAATTCCTGGAGATTTAAGAAAATGTTGCTCCATTTCAAAATCAGCAGATTTTATGAATTGAAGCTATGAGAAGAGCAAAGATTGCAATACTGTTTAAAAAAAATTTTAAGAACAAGAGACTATGTAGAAAGATCTAAAAGGCAAAGAGTTTGCACATTATGCTTCATATATTTATGAAATTTTTTTAAATTCTGTGGACATTTACCTGAAACCATCCAACTTTCGTCCATCACAAAAAACAAAAACAACTTGATAGTAATACGAACAATAGCCCGATCACTCTTATTGTGGACTAGGCCCAACTCCCCCCTCCCCCGCGCAATCAATCCCAAATCAAAATCTGCACTTTATAAAAAATAGTACGCATACATTATTTCATGTCAGCATTACACTTCTTTACTAACTCAGAAAAATCAGAGTCTCTGGACTCTGCTCAGTTTACTATACAATGCTCCATTCAGTTTTATCGCACGTATCAGCGACGTAATGACGGCATGAAAATCGTATCGCTCTTTTTCAGCGGTGCTGATGCAACATCTCATACAAGCAAAGGTCGCTGATTATGCCTTGAAGCTCAATGATGAATTCTACGACCAAGATCAAGCGCTTGAGGTCAGAGCCCCCAAGAATAAGCAGAAGTCTAAAAATTCCGCTATGGCTGAAATCCAAATGGCAACTTACGGCATTAACGGCGGTAATATGAAAAAACCACGGCAACCCTCAAAATATGCGGGATCAGTTCAGGAAGACAAAGAGGTGGACGCGTTGGCGGAGCAGTTGGGAAAAACTAATTTTTCCGAGCGTACTCCGTCCCAGGGCCGTTTGAAATGGCGCCGGTTGGCCAGTCTAAGTAGAAGGGCGGCGAGGATTCAAACAGTCGGAAGAGCATTGAGACGCTTGAGAAGGAGGCCTAGTGACGCCCACAGTGACACTGACACGAATATGTCGGAAAGTGCTCGGCACCAAGGATACGAATCAACTTGACCCTTCGGCTACCCATTGCACACTAACTTGTTGCATTTAGATTTAAGCTGTTTTTAAAATGCATCGAAAAATACAAAAACGTTTCAGGGATGTTGCTTGAAAATGGGGAGAAAACAAGAATATTTTAAGTCACTTTCGAGACCTGTAAGGAGATAAGTTATGGTGACGCACATGCAAAGTTTAATATGTGCTTTGTAGTAATTTTTTAGCATAAAAAAAAAAAAAAAAAAAAAAAAAAAAAAAAAAAGTCTAAAACACTCTGAAAGCTCTGAAATAATTTCTCATCCAGTGTGAGAGGGTTTCTTAAAAAAACGCATAAAAATATTTTTGGAATGTATGTGAAAACAAGCATTAAATCATTTTTTCAACACTGTAGAAGTATTTTGACAAAATGAGGTTTTCAAAATCCTTTTTGACTCTTGTTTTTTAGACTAAACTTGGAAATCATTTTTTCCCGAGACGAAGAATTCCCAAGCTGTCTTCTAAGGTTGCTAAAAAACATTTTTTAATTATTCCCGAAAATGTGGGTCTTGTAGAAATCTGTGTGTTTGTATGTTATGTCATACACTAAAAGGAAAAAATGATTTTCCGTGATTCATAAGGGTCGTGGACGAGTAGAGTATATTTTTCGCCAATCATTGTCAAGTATTTTCATTTGAAGGGGGTGCTGTGCTTTGAGTCTCCTGATTACACTCATTGAGCCCAGACAACCTACCATGAGTCCTGCGGTCAATGATCGTATTTGATGGACCTCACTTAGAATTTCGGAGTCGCACAAGGTGTTGCTTATTACGCTTCCTTTCCCTGTATGCACCAGAATAGTGAGGATATAATATATAATATATATAAATAAAAAATTCGTATCTTACCAAAAGAAATTTCGAGACGGACGTAGGTTCATTCGGCGTTCTTATTCCTTAGCATGGCAGCATAATACTAAAGTAATCGCCGATACTGGTTTCATATTATAATAACGTGATGTGATACTCAACATTAACTCTGGAGATATACCTCAACATTGTAAATTAAAAAATAACGGGAAAGGAATTTTTATTTATTACCATAAACTGTAAATTTTGAAGAAAGCCGATCGTGAATTACCATGGATGTACAATGGACCACTAGACAAGGTACGAATTTCAGCACTCTGATATATGTTCCGTAACCAAAATTGCACGTAGAGCACGATGCGCACAATGAAAATTATCAAAATCAACTCCTCACAACGATATTTAATGATTCTTGATGCGTGAATTCAAACCACCCGCTCATGAAAACTCAATCAACTCCTTACGAAGATGTTTAATGATTCTTAATGCGTGAATCTAAAACATCCGCTCATGAAAACTCAATGCTCTACGTGATTCACATCGCGCGCTAAACGTTATCATGACAGTCTCTGCGCGATGTAAAAATCTGGCAACCTCAATCTTGACGCTTTGGCTCAGCTATAGCAAATTGCCTATAGTTCGAACAACACATGGTGGGAATTGAATATTGCTCGATTAAGAAACTTGCTGAGACCGTTGTCGTGCGCGATTTGACTACGTAGAGCTTTGAGTTTCTTGTGACCGGGCAGTTCAAATTCCTCGAAAACAATGTGAAATAAAAAGTTAATATCTTCGTTAGGAGTTGGTTTCGGTGATTTTCGTCGCGCGAATCGTGTTCTACGTGAAATTTTGGTTAAGAAACATGTATCGGAATGCTTAAATTCGTACCTTGTCTAGTGATCCATTCAGTATGTTTTAGAGCAAAGAGGAAGTTGCACGGTTTTTGTAAAAACTGAAATTGGTCGATTCCTTTTTGCTAATTGCGATCCGCTTAATGTTCATTGATCCTTTTTTTATGAAGAAAGGAGAGGCGAGGTAAAGAGAAGGAAGTGAAGCCAAAAAAGAAGGTAAATCGAAGGAAAATGGAGAGGAGAGAGATAAAATTTAAATCTACGAATAGGGAAATATAGCTTTCGGAAAATCACCGTCTTTAAATCTTAACGGTAAAGTTGAATGACCAGTTTTGTTGTCAGTTCATTTACCAGTAATAAATTTGACGTTTAATCCAATTTTCCATCAAATGGCCTAATCGTTAAGGTGCTTCAAAACACGCCGCAATCCTGAGCTTGAGCCAATCAGTATCCTCACACCGGTAGTGATACCTCGGAGGATCGAGACGGCCATAAAAATAAAAATAAAAATAAATATAATAATAAAATAAAGAGCGCAAAGAAGAGTGTGCAAAGCAAAACGGACAATTAAGCCGGGTAAAAAGCGAGATGGTATCAGAAATGAAAACACATTAGTTTTAGAGGAGCGAAATTCAGAATATCCGTTTCCGGTAGGGCTCAGCGCTGAGGCCGAGGTTAAGGCGAGCAAGGAGCCACCTCGGTTGCAGTCCGACTGAATATTTACGATTTAAAAAGCACCATGAACAACTAACATAATTAACACTTTCCCAGATGCCACGAGGGTATTCATATCCTCGCCGAGAAGCTTATATTTTATGGAGCTTTAAATTTGTCCCGGCAGTATTTACGCGCTTATCAGATGATGAGCGGCAATCCAGAACATCCTAACTCCGATCAGAAGCCGCCAAGATTTCTATAACACCTTGTCTTCTTCGACACCGATCTAGTAGCCGGGAAACGTCCACTTCTGCCCTAAAATTAAAACCACGGTTTAGACAGAGTTTCCCAATGAAAAATTCCAGAGGCTACAGAATGTTGACTCTTTTTACGTAAAGCTCACTATCCGCGATCTTGGCAACGCTTCCTGGCGTTTACGATGTTTTAAATGTCTAGTTTTGACTCGGTGATTAACGACGTCGAACTTCTGCATTGTTTCGACGCGGAACAGTTTGGTGCGTCGAAATTCTTACCTAGCGCTGTTAAATTACAAAGTAGCTCACAAATTAGGCACAGACGTGTTGGGAAAATGACGGGATTGTATGGGGATAAAGGGTGGCTGCATGCTCAAATGCACACGGGAATCCATGACAAGGTGATGGTTTCTCACGAAAATATGTTTTAAAGTGTAAAATGTGGAGTGGGGGAAAGTATTAGGTGTGCAAATTTTTTCTCTCTTTTTTTTTTTTTTTGCCGTTAAATAAATGTGTTGGGCGCTGGCTACACTGTCCTTGATTTCAGCATGACATGTCAACACATGATCGGAAACTCATAATACGGCGATGGGCGGTGGCCCATTTGAAAACGTTGAATAATCAAAATATTGACTGTGATCCTTACGTTTCTTTACGTATAACGCAAAATTGAAGGAAATGCATACCCACTACAGTCCGTTAAAAAGTGAGACATTTTCAAAATTGTGTACTTATCGGAAAATGGCAATTGAAAATCTTTCCTTGAAGATCTACGTGAACAGAAGACTAACAACTGGTTGCACTGCGAATGATAGCAACACCTGATGACGCATACCAGGTTTTGAATTCCTCCTTCATTTAGCAATTTGTACTATTTTTTTTTTGTTTTGTTTTACCTTAATTTAACCCTTACGAATACTAGACAAACCTCAAGAACTTTTTTAAGCTCTTGAACTAAATGAATTTTTCCAAACCATGCTGAAACTAGAAGTATTCCGACTTGACTTGACATTTTTTGCCGATATTTTATGAAAAATATTGATTTCAATGTAACCCAGTTTGTTTAATATATCAGTAAAAAGATGATTACTCAGCTCATAGTCGAATTGTTTGATAGTGCCAATGACCTATGCAAATGATTGGTGATGCTTTGTAAAAACGCGATTCAATATTCAACAATATTGACGATCGAATAAATCTGTTACGTAATTACATTCCGTTAAATTGACGCAATGAAAATATAAAATGGCCAAATCAGTGTATCTCTCTCTACGTACACGAGGAGGTGCAAATAAGTGCCTGTTCTCAGCGGTTCTGTTCACTATATAGAATTAAGAGATTAGTTGGATCAAATATTTTGCAATGTTAATGTTCATCCGACAGTAGCTTAACGCAACCTTAATCCTTCCACAACAGGTATACAGTAAGCCGATGATGGTAAGATTTCTGTGGAACTACTGTGAAAATTCTTATTTAACTGCTTCTAAGCTCATAAAATGAAAACCAATGCTCATTCCTACTTACAGGGCACCATTACGGAAAATGTTTTCTCTAACTTACCTCATTCCAGCAAATTACATGTTTTCACAAAATTTCTTGATTTAAGCAATATTCTGTTAAATTTCGTATGGGGATGTGCCTCGCAGGAAAGTATGACTGCATGTAAGAGAATGCTTGGTTAGATGTACAATTAAGAGAAAGTTTGATCAAGTAGTTTACCAAGTTCGTCCTTCACTGGAAAAAAACGCATTGGATCTAGATTCCAGACTCTTGATTCAATCAGATTTAAGCATAAATCAAAAGGAAATCCGCTCAAATTAAGAGGCTTGGTTCTTGATTTAAGCTTAAATCCGATTGCTCTAGATCCAATGTGTTTTTTTTCCAGTGTTGATCAATCTAACCTAACTCGAGTCATCGATTAATTGTAAGAATGTATCGATACCGATCCAAATTTTCTGGCTAGTACGGGAAGTAAAACACAAAATGAGCTTAAAGCCTTTGGATGACAATTTCTAGAGAAAATGCCATAGTTTTCATGAGAAAAATAAAAAACGAAACCTACGAACGTTGGTGAATATGCAAATCGGAGGAATGCGTTTTCCCAGGCTCTACATTGTTTTCTGCGCTAAATTTACTGCCATTGTACCAAAATCAACATAAAATTCGTGTTGGTTTGTGTTCCTTCCAATATTAACCAAAAGTTACACAAGAACACAAAAATACTTATTTTTATCAGTGTACTAATTATTTTCTTGATCAAAACTCAATTGATCGAGATAATCAACTGTCAATATAGGTGGGATACCGATTAAGAATAATTGATTGGTTGAATGATCGAACATCCCTATAGCGAGGATCATTGACCTTATCGCAACCTTGTAAAAATGCTGAATTACACGCTCACTACC